TCTCGATCAATTTTTGCACGATTTCGAATTAACTAAAACAAGCACAGTAAATATAAAAGAAATCAATACAAAAACAATAAAATCTTACTTCATATACTCTTGGTTGAGCATTTTTATTTTCTCTTCTCAAAGGTACTTTTGATACAGGAATGTCACGTATTGATCTAGGAATTTCTAATGATTCAATATTCATTAATGGTATAAAACATTCACCAATAAACTCATCCTCTGTTACCACATCTCTATCCCAAACACTAAGACGCAAAACAGCACCTGGTGTACGTATAATATGCATTGGAAGACGATACCTTTAGAGAAAAAAAACAAAAAGAAAAAATTTCGTTGCCAATGAAAAATTATTCAGCTAAAAAAGCAACTCTACCATTTAAATAACTGATTAAATTCTGGATCAAGTGTTCGTCTCATTGTACTTGTTCTATTTTCTTCTGGACGTTCTGGATAAAGTGTCGATGGTAATAGTTCAAGGATAACATATGGATCAGATGCACCAAAATAATCCATTTTCGGTAAATCTCGACAAGAAAGAACTGTATAGAGAAAACATATAGGTGTATATTGATTGATTTTAAAAATGAAACAAACCAACATACTTAGAACATGAATAGATATAAGATCATTAACGATTTCATATGCAGCACGAAAAATAACTACACCATTATTTGTTGAACATTCATGCTACAAAACGAATAGATTAATAAATAAAATTTTGACAAAATTTTCCGAGAATATTTACAGGACAATTTGTTTGAGTTATTTCTTTAAAATAAAGTAGTTGTAATTGTTCAGTTGATGATGCAAATTGTTCAAGTCTGCGTCGAAATGTTGTAATCTCTTCACATGGTGGACTAGGTATATGTTGTTCTTCACGACATACAGTTTCAAAGTATGCAGCCAAACGATCAAATGATTGTAAAACACGCTCATAAAAGTCTGGCGGTTCTTGTAATGGCAATAATTCTCTTAAACATTGTAATGCTTTTATACGTATAGCACAAGCAACACGAGAATATTGAACTTTTTCGAGACCTTCATACAATTTAAGAAGAATCTCTTGGCCAATATATTGATTTATATCTTTCATAGGCTAAAAATTATATTCGAAAAAAATGAATATTTGTTGATTTATTTGTTTTCTTACATCAACTTTTTTACGTTTTTCATCTTCATAGTATTTGGAAATTTTATCTTTCAAAGATACATAAAACAATGTCGCAACACGTTCAAATATAAGTTTAATGACATCATTCATTTCATTTTCAGCTGTTGCTATTAAACGTTCAAGTGTTACTTTTGTTTGTTGAAAATCCGTTGATTCATAGTATTCGATCATTTTATCAATAACAGACGAGAAATGCAATAAATCTGGTAATGATGAAAGAAGTTTTTGTTTAACATAGTCAATATCATTAACTACTACACAAAACTAAAATTAATAAGAAAATAAATTAAAAACCAAAAACAAGAAAATAAAGTTCTTTTTCGACGAACTTTTTCTGCAACATTATATGATCGTGTACGATGTAAATCAATAAAAGATTCATTTTCTGATAATTTATGTGCTAAATTTCTTGCATACTGTCGACATTGTTCACATATTGTATTTGTTAGTTTAATTAGTGCTGTATAACGTATATTTATATCAGGATAATCAACTGATTCCCATTCTTGACAAATCTAAATCAATTGAATTGATACAAATATAACAGAACAGATGAAAAATATACTCTTATACAGGTCTTTGTAACTAGTATAGATGATCGAATAACGTCTTCATCAGGACAAACCTGAAAAACAATCGCTCTTTACTTTTCTTTTCATATAAACTAATTGTAACTTCTTCTTACGTTATCATCTTCTGCTGCTCTTTGCATTATTTGTCTAATTTGTGCAACAACACCTTCTATTAAAAGTGGCATTATTGGTGAATACCATTGATTATATCCAGTTAATTTCAATTTAAATTCATGTGTTTGCCAATCTCTGTTTTAACAGAAAAAACACATACAATCAAATAAGCAAATAAAAAGCAAACCAAGTCTACCGTTTTTCAAAAGTATCTCGAAGTGCTCTGATGATTGTTTGTAAATATACATACAAATTTAAAAGTATACTTGAACTTTGAATTAAATTTGGATCATATATTGATGATGTTGCTTCAACCATTGGTGTTGCACATGACAAAAAATGTTGCGTCATATTTTGTAATAGACATCTTGTTACTTCAGTTAACTAATAAATGTAAAATAGATTTATTCTATGGACAATATTATAGAATATCTTACACGATCATCGGCACTTTCGGGTTCAAGAAAACATGCTTCTACATAATTTATATCGAAGAATGCAAAGAGTTTCTGATATTCTTTTATAATTAACGTTGATCTAGTTAATTTTGTAACAAATTCTAGAAAATTTTGAACAACATTGAATTGTATACCATTCATATCCTGAAATACGAATTGATGAACACTGAATAAATCATTAATATCTGTTTGTAAACGAGTTTTGATTGTTTCTTGAATTGTTTTTATTATTGCTTGATTTGAAGAGATTTTTAGTTGTAATAAAGTATGAATTACTCTAAAAACATTTCATTATTGAAATAGTTAATATGTTTAATCTATTTATAAATCATCTATTTCATTAGTTATTAGAAAAAGATTCATATTATAGAAAAATAAGACCTATATTCTCTTTTAGATCTATACAATTCAAATATAATTATTGTTCTATGAAAAAGAATTTTCTTGGAATTTCTCATACTTGATAAAAATAGACAAGTTTATCTTTTTAAAACATAATTTGATATACAAAAAGAATATATTTGTTAGATATAAACAAACTTAGTATTTGAATATTCTATTGACTTATAATTTTTCAGCAAATATATCAACTAGGAATACTTACTATTTATTATCAAGAAAAATATTTGAGCAAAACATGATATTTCGATTTATCAGTGAAGTATACAATCTCTAATCAAAATAAATTGATAATTATAATCGATTAGGATAATACTAGACTATTTTAACATTAACTATAAATGAATATTCTTTTCTTGATAAACGAAATACTTATGGAAGATTTTCCTTTTTCTTGTTTTATAAAATCGTAGAAATTTTTCTTCTCTTGGAAACAAACTCTATATGTTGATCATTTTTGTAGTTTTTGTTTTCTACATAATAAGATTGATTCGATGTTATCGCGCTTCATTGAAATCTAATAGACACATACTCGAATATATTTTGAATACTTGATAAGTTTTCTCTCGATGGTAAAAACCATGGTGCATCATCATGTACACGTTTTTTATAATGACCAATAAATAAAGAAAAAATTCCTTCAAATACTGTTTTCTAAAATGAAGCACAAGAGTTTTTGATTTTAAGCAATAACAACAAAACAATTATATCAATTTTACTTCATAATCAGTAAAATCCAGGTTATCAATATCAGGTCTTTGTCGTACTTGTTCCATAAGTCTTTTCCAAAAATTTTGAATAACACTTTGACTTATAAGCAATGAATCGTGTTCGGAACATCGAATTTCCATAATAACAAGTAAATGTCTATTGATTTACAAAGATAATATCATTAATTTGACATGTTAATTATTCAATACTTACATAAATGTTTTTGATAGAACTGAAATATTATATAAAACACGAAATTGTGTCAGAACACTATAAGATAAATCACGTAATAATCCATTCCAATTAATAACTAAATCATTTGATTCATTGTTTTTATTCTAGACAAAGATGAATTCTTTCTTGTTCTTAATTTTATAATTAACAAAAATCACTTACTGCTTCTTTTGCCTTTTCGCATTCATGTCGCATAACAATACGAGTTAGTTGATGATATTCTTCAACTAATGATGGAAAATCTGAATCAGCAGCTGATGTTAAACATGAAACACTTTGACTTAAGTTTCTTTGAAGCTTAGCTTCAACATCTCAAAATAGAAAAAAAAAAGTATTTCATATTCACAATTTTATGATACATGATTTGAAAGGAGCCTTGAAATATAGGAGTACAAGTAATGGTGAAATCAGGAGATGGCTGAAGAAAGCTCAGCCTTATCAAAAAAAGCTTTGAGCTTTCTCTAGAAATGAGAAGATCTTATATGATAGGTAAAAAAAAACTATCTGTCCTTACATTTCACATCAGAGTTGATTGTCCCTAGAAATATTTTCTGACTTTCCCATATAGTGGAAGTGTGGCTGCTTCTCTTTCGAGAGATCATGATAGACTCGGTAGCAACAAATTCCACCGTCGTAAAATACATGAAATATCTATTATACATGATCGGAGGTGATATATCAATAAAGTCTTGCTATGACATGTTAACTACTTCGTTATTACATTTCTTGAGAACTAAATCAAAAGATGGTGAAGAGATGCATTAAAAAATAGATAGAATAAACTTATTGACCTTGTGATTAGCAACAGCAGATATGTGAAGTTTCATATGTAGATCCTATGGAGATTCAACTTACATATTTTTTAGTAGTAGAACAGCGACAAAATTATGTATAGCTATACATCTTCACAAAAATGGAAGCATTTGTATCGCTGAATAAAGAACTTTCCTCTAGCTAATTTTTTTGTGTTATATGTATGTGAAGTTACTCTAGATACACTGAAACAAATCAGCACTAAAGACTGCTTTTCCGAGGAGTAATTAATAGAAAAACCTATCTTTAATGACATGACAGAAAGAAGAACGACGACTTTGAACTCACATATAAGAAGATCTTTATCGTAAATGTTTGCTGAGCATATCTAGGTTTTGAAGAAAGATCGATTTACTTTTCCTAAGCAACCTGAAGGAATATGAATGTAGAAACGAAAAAAGTGCTCGAATAACTGAATGAGAAGTTCATAACTCATTCTAAATAGTACAAATCGTTTTTTAGAATCTCTAGATCGTTGCATAGCAAATACTATTGTTTTGAGATATGAGAATATCTGTAGAATACTGATTTTTAAGAAGAAAGCTTTTAGGAATTCAATCTTGTTAAAAGTTTCACTATAGATGCGATTCGTATGTTCATGTCTATGCTCAACATTTATCGTTTTATTTTCATATGATAAGAGGGCTATTAGCTAATAACTTGTTACTTGATAGCAACCCTCAAAAAGTGACAGTTTGTCAGAATGATAGAAATTAAGACAAATGCAGAAAAAGATAGCCAGTGATCCGATCTCTCATAGACGACAGAAATTGTTACTTAGTATAGAACGTCGTTTTTGAGATTATTTTGACTCAATGAACTTCTGAATCATTTTTTCAATTTAATATGTAAGAATTTAAAAAAAGAATGCTTTGATAGGCCCTGCATCGTGACATGCTCTTTCAGACAAAAAAGTAACATATATAGAATGAGCCTTGATAAAGAAATTTTTTGTTTGTCAAATGAGCTATTTTGACATATTTTTTGCTAATATTTCCCTCAAACGTTATGGTATAAGGCTAAAAATTTTATCATAGATTTCGCACTATAGCTCCAACATGTTCTGAAAACTTCATTCCATTGGAATGCTGTTTTGGTGTGATCGACTTTTGAGTAGGGCCGTACGATTGAACTGAAAAAGCAAACACTTTTGCTTATGTCTATCCAAAGCGAACTTGTACAGAAAAATAACTCTTGTTGTAAAGATTCAAAGTAAAGTGAAAGGCTGATATGTCTCATTTAGCCTAACATAGCGCATCTATGTATACTTACAAGGCGATTTTGCATTTTCAAGGGCTTGCATTGCTGATAGAAGAGAACTTCTTCCAAAAAGGACTGGACGAACTGTAGTCGATGAATTAATTGGATCAGGAGATAATGATGATGATGAGTGACGACGAGGACATTCTGATAGAGTAGTATTTGATTCATGTTGATCACTTTTTCTATTTTTATCACCCTTGAAACAAAAACAGATAAGATAAATAATATTTATTTCACAACTAAAATAAAAAGAACACATAGATTATCGTTTGTTTATTTAAAAATCATGCAGAAGTATCTCTGGGAAATCATAATTGCCTTTGAAACAGAACGAGAATGAGGATATGAAGAGTGAATAAGCCGATTAATTTGATTTTGTTGAAGATCGTTTTACAGGAAAAAAAGTGTTAGATTGATCTTTTGACTCACCAATTTATATTTAACTTTCAATCGAAGTAGAATTTCACCCCGTGATTCATTGTTATTTGAATGATTTTGCTTTGATCCAGTTAGAGGAAACCATTGTTCACAATCAAATGTAGCTAATGACTATAAATGAAAAAGAGTCTTCAATTGGAACAAATGTAATGTTAGCGTCCGTGATGATACACTTCTGCGCTAGACGACGACTAAGATTTTCTTTCTATGCTAACTGGCTTAGAATGTCTCCAAGGATAGCAGAAAATGTGTGGTTCGAACTCTATGAAGAGCATCTTTTTCTTTGAAATGTCGCTTAACATCGATGACACTACTCTTCATTTAGTAGCGCTTACATGAAAAAAGAAACAAAATTTGAATTACTTTAATATCAAAACTAACTTGACCGAGTAAGTCATTTTCGGTTTCAGCTGTTCTTATGCGACTTTGAATTCCAAAAGTGCTAAATACATAAACAGAGATGAAATATATTTCAAGCGGAAAACAAGGTTTACCGTGCAACACCGGTTTTGAGTCCTGATGCTTGAACATGATCGGAATTCAATACCTTTATAAATAAATGTTGTTCTTGTAGATTTTTTATCTGACTAAAAAGATTAAAACAGTACAAATATTATCTTACAGATGATCAATGATGAAAACAAGAAAAAAAACAATAACATTAGACAAAATAAAATAGAATTGTAAATCAATATAGATAGCATACAGGTCAAAATGTTCATTCCATTCTGGATTAGTAGTTTGTGGTTGAACTTCTGTATAATAAGTGATAGTTTTCAATGTTTTGTCATTGTTCAATGATACTGTTGTTGAACTATCTGTTGTATTTCGTCGACTACTCATTAACCAACTGCGTTGGCTATAATTAGTCACTAATGACTGTACTTGATATTTTGTAACTAGAAAAAGAGAAAAAAACTATGAATATTATTTTCGATGAAAAACTTTTGTGAGTTCTGAGAGCACATCGCTAGGTAATAAATCACTTTTTATATGAATCTTAGGTCATTAGGTAGAACCTATTGACACTCGAAAGAATGTAAAATGATTGGTATCCATGGGTCTTTCTTCTTGAATTATGATAGTTTCACTGAGGTTTTTAATAAAGTGCCATGTTTGCCTTCAGATAATTTTTAAAAAACACTGTCGAGTTTCGAGTTTGTCAATAATCGACTAACAATGAAATGTTTTTGTACGGTGCATCAAGAAGATCGACTATGTTCAGATTAAATTAGCACTCATTGCCAAACTAACACCAGGATATTCAATTTTTAATATGTACACAGTTTTGGTTTGTTAGCATAGTAATATGAAAACTCTTCATATCCTATCTTGTACATAGCTATTGGGTATTTGAGGTAATACTTTTTTTAGAGTCTTGTTGAAAATTATCGATCATATTATGATCACATTAGTTTCAACTTCTTCTGGAAGTTTACCCGTACTAAGCTTGGAAAAGATACTTTGATAAACGAAACAATTGGTAAGAATGACAAACTCAAAGATGTTTGGTTTGAATTTAATAACTTTTAGTGTTTCGCTAATAGCTGTTAAGAGTGAGTCCTCTAAACGTGTGCTTGCTACAAAAAAGTCTTTATTTTTGTCATTTAATTGAATATGTTCATCGCTAGTTGTAGGAAATCTATGGTTTTCATATAAATGAAGTCGAAAGTGCTGATAAATATGAGTTTTCAACTGAAACTGGTGATATTTGTGCTACGTTGATATTGATAAACTTCTAGAAGAAACTAAATCTAAAGTAATCCTAATGTGATGGATAGTCTTCAACAAGATTCTAAAAAGTGCCACTTCAAAAACTGGAGTATTATGTATAACATTGGAAATGAATAGTTTTCATATTAGTATGCTTACAAACCAAAACTGTATATATTTTCAAAATTGAATATTTCAGTCTCGACTTGTTATGGGCATGTAATGTTTTAAATCTGTCAGTTTGGCAGTGAGAATGATAATTTGACAAGAACATGATCAATATTCTCGATGGACAATATAAAGAGTTTCATTGTAAGTTGTACTCCGTGATGTTTCTATTGCAGTATATATTTCTTCCATAGCGCGCTTACTTTTCTTTCTTCTCATATGGATTTTCCTCATCCTATTCTAATTGTTATCACATAAAAGATATTTCCATCCATCTTTTGTTTGTCATCTGAATCTTTTCTTTCACTCTTATCACCCTTGTTCTAGTTTTTCTATCTTGTTAATCATAATGGATATTGTCATCAGGTTCATTTATATATACAAAATGTAATTTCACAATAAACAATAGTCTGATCTTGCATTCATCTTCTTTGATCTACAGAGTTTGCTTCTTAAGGGATTCATGGTCTTGTACAAAGTTCAATTTTTTTGGAAATGAAATTCTCTATATGACTAATTGATGATGAAAGTTTCAAATTTTCTGATATTTCCTATTCCACGATACGAATATGTAAAATACTGTCATGCGAAAGAGCAAACTATTGTATTCGTATTTTATGATAGGAGACACTAGAAAATGTGACACATTCACAATGTATTAGTCATGATGAGAACATTATTTGTGCAAAGTTTGAAATCGAAGCTCAAAAGTTGATTTTGAAGATGACTTGAATGGGACCATGGCATTTTGTTGAAAAAATAGGTAAAATAATTATAGCTCAA